TGACTCACTCACTGACTCACTGACTCACTGACTCACTGACTCACTGACTCACTCACTCACTCACTCATTGGCTCACTGACCCATTCACTGACTCACTGACTCACTCATTCACTGACTCACTGACTCATTCACTTACTGACTCACTCACTGACTCACTCACTGACTGACTCTCCGACTCACTCACTGGCTCAATCATTGGCTCACTCACTCACTCAATCGCTCACTCTCTCACTGGCTCACTGACTGACTGACTGACTGACTGACTCACTCACTCACTCACTCACTCACTCACTGACTCCCTCACTCACTGACTCACTGACTCACTGGCTCGCTCACTCACTGACTCACTTACTGACTCACTCACTCACTGACTCACTGACTCACTCACTGACTCACTCCCTCATTCACTCTCTCATTCACCTACCCACCCACCCACTCACTCACTCACTCATTCACTCACCCACTCACCTGATCGATCCATCAATAAATCATTTAGTCAATAAATCTATAAATAAATCAATCAATAAATGAAACAATCAAACAATCAACAGAATTACCAGTTAACCAAGAAAGCTAGCAATCAAGCAATCAGGTTAGCAATCACACAGTCAACACTAAATCAATCAATAATTCATCAATTTTAGCGTAAAAAATGATCATTTAATCAATTTATCAAGAAGTCGATCAATAGATCACTTAGCCTATAAAATGTTACAGTTTGGTCCAGGTGACATGTACAACATGCAATGCTGTATGTCCAACGAGTGACTTAGGTAATTGTGGGGCATCATGGTCAAATCCGGCGCTTGTCAAAATAATAAAATGAAAGATACGGACATATTTTTATTTATTTATTTGTTTATTTATTTATCTATTTATTTATTTACTTATTTATTTATTTTTGCTCTATACCTTTTTCTCCAATTAAAAACACATTTTTGTAGATTTTACTGAAAAACGTTGACAAAGACAAATAAAATGTAAAACTGGAATTTCTGAGGACTGTCAAGCTTTGGAAGACTTCAAACTTTTGCGCCAATTTTTGGCTATTTTTTAAATCTCTGACACCAGACGACCCTATTTTCTTTAATCGCAAACATCATCCTTACTTCTGTTCAAGATTGATGATTGTGGGTTGTTGGTTTCTTAAAATCAAAAGCAAGACAAATGAACACGCTTTAAGGAAGACAGCAACCCTATTATGCCCTAAGATTGACGAGCGCCCGATTCCACCGCGTCGAGACACAGATATCCACAAGTTTTGACCAAGACTGTTATTGTGAAGTGGCGTCTTTGTCAAATCTGGTTATGCTATCGGACTCGCAACCGACAGAGCATGGTACGAACCCCGGCGGCAAGGGTGGGACGTTGCGTCAAAGGAAGAGCACTTCATATGGATTTTCAAAACTTCATCCAGGCCCGACGTTGTGTCATTGGAAAAGGCACTTTACACGAACTTCCTCACTTTACTCAGTTGAGAATGGTTACCCGGCCATAGACAGCGAAAGATCGGGTCAGTATTGTTAGTGTTTTAGCGCCCAAAAAATGTCAACTTGCCCTGTATGGTTCCTAGAAAGGTAATTCAGAATGCCATTTAGTCTGCAGGAGTATTAATATCAATGGTAAAGCGCATGGAGCTTGCAACTGAGCGGTAATTTGCACTATACAAATGCTATTTATCATTATTATTATTGTTATTATTAT